GTGTCAGAAAGACCTAAAACAAACAAACAGCAAACAAACAACCCGACTCTGGGTGTTCCAGATGAACTGAAAGCGGGAATACCTGACTAGATATCCTTGGTTGATTATATGGGGGTAGATTTTATTCGAAATGGTTTATTAAGACTTTTTTAAAAGGCTTAAAATAATAATAGTTAAAGTAAGCATTTTATAGAGTGCTTTTATAAGCTAAACAACTAGCTTATTAAAGCACTTTCTATAAATGAACCCATTTAATCCCATCAGTCATCCTATGAGATAGTTATACCAGTCTATTCATTTTGTACATGAAGAAACTGAGGGACAGAGATAATGACTTGAGTAAGTCACATGACCAGTGAGTAGATAGACTGAGATTTGAATCTAAGTGAACAGTCTTTAAAGTTTTATAGACTCACTTTTATAGACTAAACTATATTGCTTTTAAAAATATATATTTTTATTGATTTCAGAGAGGGAAGAAAGGGAGAGAGAGAAAGAGAGAAACATCAGTGATGAGAGAGAACCATTTATCAGCCACCTCCTGCATGCCCACTTTTGGGAATCCAGCCCGCAACCCAGGAATATGCCCTGACCGGGAATTGAACCATGACCTTCTGGTTCATAGGTCGATGCTCAACCACTGAGCCATGCAGACTGGGCTATATTTCTTTTCTTCAACGAATCTTTAAATCTCTCAAAATGTTTAATTAATTAACATTGGTTGTTCAGCATGTTTTACCTTTTTTGGCAGCCTGACTAAGTTTATAAACAGCTACGACAAGGTGAACCGGTTCCAGTATCTACTAAGGACCAAGGTTTTGAGTGGGGGGCTAACTTCCACTGTAGGGCTTCTCCCCACCCTTCTGATAAAGCTTCTTAGTGGCTGGGGCACCACCAGGTCACAGAGAACAACATAGGTTACGGGACTCTATTGGTCCCTGCCTCTAATTTAGGGAGTCAAAAACCCTAGTGGGAGTTTCATGGTCATTGAGCAAACTAAGTCTTTCATGATTTTTTCCCTTAGTTAAATGTATGGTATGGATATTTGCTAGCCGACCATTATAATGCACATAATATAAATAAATTGACATACTGGACTCTTCAAGTTCATTGGCAAGGTAGGCCAGAAAGTAGAATAATTTTCATTCTTGAAGAGGCAGACACAGTATTTCAAGCCACTAACTTTTTACATAAAAGAAATCACATAGATTTGGGAAGAACAGAGTAATGTGCTTCCTGCAACTCTGTGGTATATTTTCTTTCCTTTACCATTAAGATCATTGGTGATGGTTTTTGAAGCATATATACTGGGAATGAAGATTTGGGCAAATTCTTGGTTCTAAGGTCCTGGTGGCATCATATGAGAATATGTGTGCCTTCTCTGTACCAAGTAAATTCGTTGGCTGTAATTCTCACAACTACCAAGGAAGGGATCACTATCCCTCATTTCCAGATGTGAGGTTAAGTGCCTTGAGTAAGACCACACAACTGTAAGTGCACAACTGGGATTCAAATCTGAGCGTAGATGCAGTGTCCACACCCTTTCCTCTAAGCCACAAGGCCGCCCTGAGCCAGCCTAATTTGATGTGTGTGTGCTATTTTTCATGTAGGTTGTCATTACTCAAATCTTTCCTGTCCAAGTATAACCATAAATATGAAAAGTTCCTAAAGTAGGCATTCTTGTGCAAAGAAATTAGTAGAAGTCATGTTTTAATGCAGACAACTACAAAGTTAATATAAAACATGTGGATGTAAAGGCCACGGAGTATGTGCTGACATGAAGGAGCACCAGCGAAGGAGAAAAACAAAGGGGGAGCCAGCAGCGGTAATTACAATCCGCCTCCACTGGGAGAGCTCTCAGATGAGCAGCAGAGACCAGGAAATGACACTTCTGATTCAACATGAACTTGGATATACTTACATGAAAGTTATACTTGTCTGGTCTTTATTATCTTTAGGGGTAAATAGGTATTAAGAAAAATAGAAAAAGTCTATGTGTAAGCTATTTTTAAAAAGTTGTTTATCTAATTGAAACATAAATGCTCAGATGGGCCTTATCTACCATACCAGATGGCCTCGTTCTCATTTAGTTCAATTTCAAGGATCCTGGAAGGTCAGAGCTTCGGGAGTTTTTAGAGACCAACTAGACCAGTGTCTTCATTTTCAGATGAGGAAACTGAGACCCAAAGCAGCGAATAACACTCTCAATAACATTCATCTCTCTGCTTTCCTATCAAGTTCAATGTCATATAACCGCACATAAAGTTACATCTGCGAGCATACACTACAAAAATATGTAGTCACGCACACGTGCGAAGGAGAGGAACCAAGACATGGCTCTAAAAATGCTGTGCTTTAAGCAGGTATTTTTATTTAAAAAAAAGCAAATAGAAAAACTTTGAGAATCATAGATGGGCAGTAATTACAATCCGCCTCCATTGGGAGAGCTCTAAGATGAGCAACAGAGACCATTAAATGACACTTCAGATTCAATATGAACTTGGATATATTAAAAGAGATAATTCTAAATTTAGACATGAAATTCTAAGTGTTTTCCTTAAGAAAAATCACATATTAGCTCCTTTGCCCAGCTATGACTACAGTTTTTATGATTACTAGAGAAAACAATTTTGTGGACAAAATCCATTACTATAACTTTGTGGATAAGGAATAATTTATTTTTACTGAATCCATGGTTACAACAAATTGTTTGTGCTTTTTCAGTTATTAGTGCTTTCATTTTTTAATTTTCTGTAGACATTATTATTCATTTCCTTAATATGTGTGGTAACTTAAAAATAATCCTATCTTGTAGAGGAGCCAAAATAGATGCTTGTCCAATGGTACTGGTAAATTAACTATGATTATCTAAGGAGACACCCCCTTAGCGAGAAACATGAAATGCAAATGTTATTGTGATTTTCTTGAAAAAGACCTTTCAAATGGTTTCCTCCAATTGCATATAAGCGATCATTCATTACAGCCAAAGTGTGGATGGCACGTTTTGTGTTCATATCTTGTTTGCGAGCCCAGACATCCATCACGGGGTCGTAGCAATAGAGCCATGGGACGTACTCTCCGTTGTGCACACCCCCTGTGGATTAAACACACACATACAAGTCAAGAAAGCGCCTTGCCACTGAACTTTGTGGCAGAAAGCGGGGGATGACTTGCCTGAAATGTATATTTTCCCGTTGTGCACGGCTCCTGCGTGAGCTGCCAGAGGCTGCGGCAAAGAGGACACATAACGCCATTCGTTTGTTTCTAGGTTATAGCACTCCACGCTGGACAAATAGCCGGTTTCATTCCTTCCACCAATAACGTATAAATGTTTGTCCAACCGACACGCGTAGAAACTGGCTCTTCTACAACGAAAACAGCAATCCACCGTAAATCACAAAAGGAGCCCAGTGGGTCGGGAAAAGGAGGTATATTCAGCTTCAGAAAGGGTGCAAGCCTTTGGAAATCACACAGATAGCTACCTTCTAGATCTGAGACCTTATACAGTGGTCGCATGCATGGCCCATTCTGGTTCACGTTTCTGATATTAAAGTAACAGCAGAGGGGCAGTTCACTAACTCTTTGTTTGAGCTCTTTTTTTTATCTTACTTGGATACACTGGTAAAGTGTTCACTAATGTTTGGGATATGTGGAATACTCTGGAAGGATATCACAGCTCAGTAAGACAAAGTGAAAAATGAGGTAGATAATGTAACAATAATAAATTATCTTGACATTCACTTTCTTTATGGTCCTTCAAGGGTCATTGTTCCCAATTTATAAGAGAACTACATCATCAAAATTTTTCTTCAATTATCATTTTTTCTCCCCCCTCCCACCCCCAGTACTACGGCAAATAGAGAAACTTTTGTGAACTGAATATAGTGTTGAAAAGTTGCTGTTATATAAGCCATTGCAGGAATTTCACCTATGTAATATTTGGTGTTGATTCTTACAAAGCTGTGGGATATTTTTTAGTCTCTTTTCAAGAGAGGCTCTTTATTAGATTATCTCACTATGTCACCAAAAGCATAAGATGCAAGCTGTGTCAAAAGGATTGGAGACAAGAAGACCAATCTGAGGTAGACCATACTCCAGGAGTGAAGTGTTAAAGACGTAAATTGGAGTTTTAGTAGAAGACGTGGAAAGGGGTGACAAAAAAGGTATTTTAAAGGAAGATGCAAGACTTGGTAACTAATAAGATATGGCATTGACTCAAGAAGAATCGCCGCGGTATTGAAGGCAAAGAGTGGCCCAACGAAGTACTGATGGGGTGGTCATAATCATCTGGCCACTCAGTGTATATGGTTTGAGATTTTCCAAGTTGTGTTTACAAAGAGCCCAACCTCGGGGAAGCAGTATATACTAGTAGCATCTTGATGAACTGTTTGGTGTCTGGAATAAGATGGCCTCGCTCTACGATTTACTGGGTGTGTGGCCTTTGACTCATCACTGAACCCTCTCAGACTCAGAATGCTCATCTGTAACATGGGGTTGATGATGGTGCCTTCCTTACAGGGTTATTTGCAAATACACGTGAAGTGCTTGTTACAATGCCCAGTGTTTGGTTCATGCACAGGACCCATCAGTCAATATTACCTGAATATGTCTTTAAAAATCAGCCATCAAGATGTGTGGAGGTTCCTCGAAAAATTAAAAATGGAACTGCCTTATGACCCAGCAATTCTACTTCTGGGTATATATCTGAAGAAACCCCAAACACCAATTTAAAAGAATGTATGCACCCCTATGTTGATGGCAGCATTATTTACAATAGCCAAGATTTGGAAGCAACCCAAGTGCCCATCAATAGATGAGTGGATAAAAAAGCTGTGGTACATATACCATAGAATATTATTTGGCTATAAAAATAATGAAATCTTACCATTTGCAACAGCATGGATGGACCTAAAAGGTATTATGCTAAGTGAAATAAGTCAGACAGAGGAAGACAAATACCAAGTGAATTCATATGTGGAATCGAAAGAACAAAATAATCAAACAAACAAAATAGAAACACACTCATAGATTCAGAGAACAGACTGACAGCTGTAAGAGGTGAGGGGGGTTGAGGGACTCAGTGAAAAAGGTGAAGGGATTAAGAAGTATTAATTGGTAGTTATAAAACAGTCACTGAGATATAAAGTAAAGTGTAAGGAATATGGTCAACAATATTGTAATAACTATGTATATGGCAGGTGGTTACTTGAAATATTGGGGGTAACACTTTGTAATGTACACGATTGCCCAACTGCTATTCTGCACACCTGAAACCAATACAAAATAATTTTAAATGTAATTGAAAAATAAAATTAAAAATATTTGCATATACATTTTTTCTCAATTGCACAGGGGTGGGGCAAAATTAAGTTTACAGTATTAAATATCCACTTTTGTTGCTCATTGGTCAAATTACCAGCCATCATTACCTAAAGGGTAAATCATAAGTAAGGATATGAAATAATAACAATAAAACAAATAATAAAAGCAAACAATACAATTAATAAATAGTATAATAAATCCTATTTTGCTTTCTCACAACTGTAAGCCTTCTTTTGCCCACCCCTACATTTTAAGTGACAACTAAATTCTTTATTTGTGTAAATGACTTATTACCATATAAGTATGATAAATGCTATATATGGTGATGTATTCAGTTTTATTTTATTTCCAGCTTTATTGAAGTATAATTGACAAATAAAATTATAATATATGTAAAGTGTAAAATGTGATGATTTAATACATGCATACATTGTAAAAGGATTTCCACTAGGAAGTTAATTAACACATCCATCACCTGACATAGTTACCCCCCATATTTTTATGAGAACCCTTAAGATCTATTCTCTTATCTTAGCAAATTTCAAGCGTATAATCCACTATTAACTATACTCACCGGACATCAGATCCTCAGAACTTATTCATCTCCACTCAAATTGTGTACCTTTGACCGACCACTCCTCTCACCCCTGCCCTAGCTCCGGGCAATCACCAGTCTGGTCTGTTTCCTTAAGTTCAACATTTTTTAGATTCCACATATAAATGACATCATACAGTGTTTGTCTTTCTCCATCTGGCTTGTTTCACTCAGCATAATGACTTTCCGTTTCAAATGGCAGGATTTCCTTCAATTCTGTGGCTGAATAATATTCTATTTTATGCCTACACCATGTTTTCTTTACCCACTTATCTCTGGACAGACAAGGTTGTTCTCACATCTTGGCTATAGTGACTGATGCTACAATGAACATGGGAGTACAGAAATCTCTTCAAGACACTGACTTTGGTTCCTTCGGACATATATGCACAAGTGGGATTGTGGGATCATATGGTTCGGTTATTTTTCACAGTCCTGAAATTGTTAGAGTCGTATTTTGGCTATGTTTGTTTGTTTTTTTCTATATTTTTCTTGATGCTTTTGAAAAACATATGTGCTGCGGAAAATTCAAGAGGAGGATGAACAAGAATGATGGAAAAAGGAGGAAGGAATCCGTAGGAAGGAGAATGAAGAGCAGGAGGGACAGATTTCACAAAGTAAGGGTGGTTCACCTGGGCCGTGTCTTCTGCGGAGTCCATGCAGCTCTTTTGAAATTGTACTAAAAGGTGTTCTGCATATGTGCATTTGTGAGGAAGAATATGGAGAAAGGTTTTGGAGGAAGATTTAATCATATTTTCAAAGGAACACAAACCTAAAATAAATTGGGGTTTCCTGGGATAGAGGAGTAAAAACTCACTGAGATATAAAATTAGGTTTAAAAACAATTACGAAATTAAGTGCATATAGATGGGGAAGTGGTTGGTCAAAGGGTACACAGTTTTAGTTGTAAGATGAATCTTTCCATTCCTCTGGCCAGATTTCTACTGCTCTCTTATGAAATATGATAAGTCAAGATGATTTTACTGGCGATTTTCCCTCCTCAGTTAAAACGATCCATTGAGAAGACTGACACAGGTCTATAAAAATCTGGACATTGATATTTAATTGCACCATTGAAACAGGATCCCTTTCCCATATGAGCCTGTGACGGGTCTTGGAGCCCCTGGAAGAATTAGTTTACTAATTTCACTGCTGTGCCATTTAAAAGTAATTTGGACTATGTGGGCTGTAAGGTGGTGAGTTCTTCTATGCACTATACTAGTATACTGGTCTAAGAAAAACGCCCATCCATCATGACAAGGATGCAAACCCTCTATTCAAGCTTTGGTAGTGGAGCAAACGAGGAAGAGCCCCCTTTGGAAGCATGAATTCCTTTTAGCGTCTACATTTCCATGTTCTCCCTTCTCCTTCCTTCCCCACTGTTAGCCGAGGTTTCCTGATTTGATGCTCCATGTGTACTCCTGGCTTCATCCACACAGTGTCACTGTTAGGATCTAAATGGGAAAAAGCAGCCCAGTGGGTTTCCCTTCCTGACAAAAGTGCATATTCCTGTAGCAATCCCCGCAGCGCAGATGCCGAGTCTGACTCCATCCCTTGTGTGACACGCGGCACAGACACTGGGTCATGGCCTGTCAGCCACTGTGAGCGTTTGCTCCGGGCGCAGATCTGCCCAGGCCAGGTCTCCTGGGCAAGCTCCCTGCCCTGCCTCTGCACCTGAGGGCACACCTGGTGTAGGCTACTTAGGCTCTTTTTGGAAGAGTAAGGTAAGATGATTAAAGATTCCTTAATGGGATTACAGTGTATTTAAATTGTTCATCTCTTCCCCCCTACGACATCCCCCTTACTCCACCGCCACAGCTAATGCTCAATGGGTTGAGATAAGTTACAAAGGACGACGGTAACGTCTACAAACATGCATCAAATCCTGAATATTGTACCGGTTTTTCCCCGTCCTTCTGACCCTCGGGCGGTCAGTTTATATGTACAGCCTGAGACTGAATAATCACATCCTCATCTCAGCTTAAAGCAGATTTTCAAACAATATTGTCTCTTGTAAGGCTTCCAGAAACAAATAGTTAACTTTGGAAAATTTCTGATGTATTTGCTTCCAGATTTCACTTACTCTGTGAAACACATGTTTTGTTTCTGTTCTCCAAACTGCTTTTTCTTTTTCTTCCCCTCCCTCCCTCCTTGCCCCCCCCCCCACCCCCCGCCAGACTAGCTAGGGAATAAAATCTCCATAAGAATACCTAAAATGTCTATTTTTATAAAAAATATTCAAAGTCATCAAAGCGTTTCTATTGAGTCAAGTTTTCATTTTCACCCTCATCTTCTTTCTGAAGAATCAAATCCTAAATCTGAGACCAAACAACCCCTCTGCATGACATTTTAATTTACATTTTTGTTTATTTCCGTCAGTAAATTCATAGGCAGCAGGCATGCAATTCAGGAGCGGGCCTGTGGTTGAGGAAGCCTATCGGCTGTGTGCCCATTTTCCGGTGACCGGGAATGGTAGTCTGCACCGGATCATACTCTTTTGGGTGTGCTAATTAGGTAAGCTGGCCTAGCCATCTGTCCAGCCAGCTCTGTAATGCAGAGGATGGGTTACCCCACAGTGTTTTCCAACTTGATTCTATTGTTCTCCACCAGTTTGGTAACTTAATTAGCATTTTGGTAGCAGCTAAGAGAATGGGGTGGCGTGGGAAACTTCTGGTGAGTTTGATTCAGGATCTATACAACGCGAATGAACTCACTTAAACATTTAAGGAAATTCTTTTCTGATCTATAGCCTGTGTCTCATATGTTCTGGTTTTCTCCTTCTTTGTTTAATCACCAGTTAGACCACCCTAATAAGTGCCCACTCTTGCTAGTCTGAACGGCAGCAAAGACAGAAACATTTCACTTTCAGTTACGGATTGCCGCCTGGGTCAGCCAACCCATAGGAGACGCGGAGCTCGAAGATGGTCGGGGCATCTGCGAGCTCTGCCTGTGCCCCTCCGCCCGGCCAGGAGCTCTTTATTTGCTCTCTCGAGTTGATTGCTCTCCATGTAAAAAAAACCCCCTCTTACCAGGGACCTGACATGATGTACCATAATGACTCGGGAAGAAACGTTCGACAGTCCATCCTGTCAACGGTGGCTGCCGGGCGCCGCCGGACCATGGCAGGCCTTTTTATCAGGTCAATGAGCTGCTCAAAATCGTCTACGCAGGGCCCTGCCAGGAGAGGCCAGAGGGCCTCCGAGGAAGTCATTATCGAGTAGCAAGTAAACAATGCACATTTGAAAAAATTACTAATTAGGTTTTTGCAGCAACACTTCTCATCCCGAGGGGCTCTACAGTGAGATAATTGACCGCGACGTGAGCGATGCCTCCCAAAGCCGAGGCGTGAAGGTTAACGATCGTGGTGCACAGCCCCCAGCAAAGGGCCGGGGTGAGGAGATGCTGACACTTCAAATATGTTATTGATGTTCCCTTTTAAAATATGGTTTAAGTGGAACTTTCTCGAACGGTTTGGATGAAAGAGTGAAGTGATGTGGCCACAATAACGGCAACCAGGAGAGAAGCCCCACACGTGAGAGACCAGAAGAAAGACCCCAGGAGGCGTTTGCGTGCCCAGGCACAGGAGCAGGAAGGCTGAGCGGAATGTCAGGGCATTAACTGGCTTAGAGTCCTTTGTTGAGGTACCTTTCAACCAGACATTCCTAAACGTGTCTGCGATCCTTTTAATATAATGTGCCTCGTTATTTTCAGTGTGTAGCCCTTAGTCTCCTATAACAAAGTCTTAATATATGTACATGGAATAGGAAGTAAGTTTCTTTATAGCATAGATTTATCATCTTCCTGTTGTAATGTCCATTTTTGAATGAATTGGTATGATCTGAAAATTTCTTTTAAAAATCCTCACCCAAGGATATTTTCCCATTGATTTTTAGAGAGAGTAGAAGAGAGAGGGAAAGACAGAGAGAAATATTGATGATGAGAGAAACACATCAATTGGTTGCCTCTTGCACGAGACCAGGTCCTGGGCTGGGGAGGAGCCTGCAACCGAGGTTCACGCCCCTTGACCGGAATTGAACCCGGGAACCTTTGGTCTGCAGGCCGATGCTGTATCCACTGAGCCAAACCGGCTAGCGCTGAAAATTTCTTTTTAACTTGGAATATATGATTAAGGATCTAATTTGATCTCAGTGAAATCTGTTCGAATGCTTTTTAAAAAAGGAAATGTTAAGGTGAAGGGTCATGAAAGAAATAAGAAATTATTTCTTAAATAATTCCATCGAGCAAATAGGTTGTCGATTATTGTTACAATTAGACTGAAGAATTTGCTCGAGAGGATGTGGAGATATTATTTGGAAAGAACCAAGTGTGGAAAATTGAGCATGAGAACTTGCATAGGCACATTAAGACATGGCCTATTGCCTATGAAACAGCCAGGAGAGCCCAAGAGGTGTAAGTGTAGTTGTTATCATGTCCTTTGGCACTAGGAGCATTGGGTGAGATAAACACTGTATATTAAAAATGAGAGCACACCTTTCAAAACTGTTTATTTTAAAGCTAACAAGTGACCTGTTCTTGAATGTATGATGGAAAGATAGTGGAGGAGGCAAATGGGAAGGATTTGAATCAGTGAGACTTGAAAACTTCAATATTGAAATCTGAGCATCAAAATGCACAGATTTCACTGTGAAAACGATGTTTTCAATTAGGATTTAAATATATCCTAGCCAAGGAGAGTGGGCTAGCCGGTGAGAGTGAAGCTCTGCTTGCCCCAAAGCCAATGCCATGTAGGGAAGGAAGAACAGTCATGCAATTGTTTTCTTCCTACGTGAGGATAAATCATTGACTCACTTGATTATTTTTCTCCATTGAGTTGCCAAGGCAGCTCATCCACACCGGCCAGCCCGAGGTGTGTATGTTGCCTCATGTACCTCTCATTGGTCCCACTGAGCATGCCTCATCAGGGCAGACCTCCCAGCACCCAGGCTTCCTGTCAGCCGCCACCAGTGTTTCCAACACGAGAAATAAACACTTACCTTTCCTGCATGGGTGGAAGCTGTATCCAGCTGTTAAATCGGGGATCATATCGACTGACAAAATTCGTACTGTGTTTTCCTGTAAAAGATATAAAACTTAGATTCGTTCCGTTGTTGTTTTCCACATTTAGTAGTATAAGATACCTCTGTTCTCAGGCTTAACAAATAGATGCCTGAAGTAGAGGGACTACCTAACAGGGTTGAGAAGTGAAGTCAGTAGAAGAATAAACGAGCCACCTCCAATGTTTTTCCCTTTTCCTCCCTTCTCTGCCCCCTTTTAATGAGTTATGATAAAAAGAAATCGACCATAATAATAAGAGCAAATATGTCTGTCAAGCCAGTTTTATCCCAAAGTTAGGGCAAAACACTCTAGGCTTTGGTGTTTTTATGCTTTAAAAACATGAAGTTATTGCCTATAAAGCATCAGTTCCAAGACCACCCTGTGTGATATCTCTGGTTAGAGCTTTTATTTTTATTTTTTAAATGATCCCAGAATTCCAGGAGTGGGAGAGCCCACTCTCTCTCTGTGGAAATAGTGGCAATCGCCACAATCTGAGGTTTAAGGAAGTCCGTTTTAATCTATGCATGTCATGTACGTTGTGTGTGTATATTTGAGGGAAGCGCAGTTGCTGTGACCTAGCGCAGGTACAGGTGCTGAATGGGGAACATGAGCCCTTGGAGCTGGGTAGCCAGCTTGTCCCTCCGCTGAACCCAAGCACAGCCATGCCTCTGAGGCATAAAAACTATTCTTATTTACACACAGATTGTCACCAAGAAATGGAAGCCAAGGAGTGTATTCCGTTTTCTGTGTAGCACCTGAAATGACAATCATTTGAGATGTGGGTGCGTGTGTACACATGCACACATGTACATGCGTGGTTTCATGTGGGCGTGTATACAAAACCCAATTATTAATTCCACAATTACCTATTGAGTACTTATTATGTGTCTTATGTGTTCTAGATTCTGATGATATATTGGGGGAGAAAAGAAAGGCTAAGTTCCTGTTTTGGTCAATGAATAAACAAGTATAGACTATATTGTCAAGTAGATGAAGGCCAGGGGTTGGTAGAGGGGAGGCCAGCTTAGGTAGAATGCCACAGATGCCTTTTGCAAGCCATGCAAATACCTGCAGAACGAGCCTCTCAGGCCGTGGGGTATGGAGCAGAAACTCCTGGGCTGCTCATGAATTCAGACCCAGCAGGAACGCTGGAGCGGCTGGGACAGAAGCCGGAGACGTGTCAAGGTCCAGAGCAGTGTGTGTTATGGACGAGGGTAGGATCGCACCTTTTGTTATAAGAACGAAGGCAGGCATGTGGGGGGTGTTGAGCAAGCAAGGAAGATGGCCTAATTTGTCTCTTACAAAGATTACTCTGGCTGCTGTGTGAAGAACAGACTATAGAGGTGCCACTCTCAAAGCAGCTGAGCTATCAGGAGGTCATTGAAGGAAGGTTCAGGCAGAGAGATGAGGTTAGGTTTGGGATCTACTGCATGGAAACAGCCAATAACATTTTCTGATTATTAGTGTGAGGTAAAGAGGAGATAATGAAGGAAGGTTGCCAGGTTTTTAGCCTGAGTAACTGGACAGAAGGCCATGCGATGTGCTGAGGTGGGGAAAACCAGCAGGAGTAGTTTGGGGGTTGAGGAGAGAAGTCACCTAGCTTTGGACTTGACCTTGAGAGGCCTATGGGATCTCAAAGTGGAAGTACCTGGTAGACCACTGGCTAAATGAGGCTGTAGGTGCAAGTTTTGGGATTATTATTCCAGAAATATTATTTGAAGTCATCGAACAGAAGGAAACCCCGTTAGGCAGAGGGTATGACAATGGAAGGTAATACAAATCCTGGGAATTAGCCCTGGGATAGAAGGAGGAAAACTAGCAAAGGAAAGACATTGTCAGAGATAGGAGGAAAAGTGTGGCATTTTGGAAGCCGTGTCAAATAGTGTTTCAAAAAGAGGAGTTAGCATCTGAGAATTAAACATTCGATTTGACAACAACAAGGTTGGTGGTGGCCTGGACAGGTGGCTGCTTCCATGGACGGGTGGGAATGAAAGCCCACGTGGGGACTCTTCTAGGAGACTAAAATATGAGAAATCATGGAAAAGAGGGTAGGGAATACTTTCTAGAACTTCTGCCATGAAAAAAAGAAGATTATTTCTGGAGGATATACCGCCTAAAGAAGCTTCTATTTGGTTGTGCTTTGAAGGTTGGAAGTATTGCAAAAGTGCTTGAGCAAGTAAGAAGGAACGAAGAAAGGCCTTAGACAGGGGCAGAGACAACCACAGGAGGAAAGATAGACCATATGGATAGCCACAGGTACATGTGCATAGATTTGGTAGGAGCAGATACAGATGTTTGTCCTCCATTGCTTCTATTGTAATTGAACTAAGAAGAGAGGCTATGCTGAGTGAGGAGGGAGTCTTCGGAGAAAGGCATTTGAGAGAGAAGGTGTGGAATAGTTAAGCAGGAGGGTGGGAGAGTGTACTGATCAGGACAATTTGAAGTGCAGCTGGCTAGTAGTGAGCATGGTGCATAGGAGCCAGGGTGGCTGTGGTTGTCTATATCCACATGGAGTTGCTCACGGGCAGGGAAGAGGCGGGACAGAATGGCATGTAACCAGGACCCAGCTTTACAGGTAAGTATAATGCCAGGAGGCAGACACGAGGGTTGCAGGTGTGTGCACCAGTGTGACTGGTTAAAGGGATGGAC